CCCCCCCCCCTCCATCAACTGCCTGTATTCAGAGATTATTTACATGTCTGGATTTCTGTTGCTGAAAAATTGAAGTTTTTTTGGTTCTTGCTTAGAAATAGTAAGACCCTAATAATTACAGTTACTTGGCTGATAGACTGATTGTCAAGGGGCTTTTTAGTGATCTTTGATATGCAAGTGTATTACTATAATGTACTTAAAGGTATGTTATTTTAATGTGTACTTTAGAAGTTCTTGCTCTTACCTTGAGTATTTTAATCTCACAATTCAAGTTGTCCGTCTAGATTGATCTGTCTGTCTCTTATGCAAGCAAGATGATGAAATATGTAAATTTTGAAGTATTAAAGCAGAAGGTATAATATTACTTACACAATACCGTGCAAATGATATGTGTATTTCTGCTAGTGAGGGTTTATGGATTAGTTGGGTATAGGCCCAACTTTTTCTTGTGTAGCTTTTGATAAGACACATTTCTTCTCATCTGCAGAAACCCCTCAACCACCATTTCCAGCTTCTTTGACTGGAAAGAGAAATCAAACGTAAAGTGGTTCTGCAAAATGAACAAGTGTCTGTTCATTTTGTGTGGATCCAAGAAGAAATGTAGAACTTGTGATATTTAACAGTAGTACTCCTTTAAATTCTAGCTGAGAAGATCACCAGGGGAAGTGTGTTTTCCAGGAGGTAAAAGTGAAGCAACTGATAAAGATGAAATTGATACTGCTCTCCGAGAAGCTAAAGAAGAGGTGGGGCTCCAGCCAGAGAAGGTGGAAGTCATCTGTAGGCTTGTGCCTGGAATTGATAAAGTAAGCAATAAACTGAGTAAGAGTATCATTAGAAAATAAGCTTGGGTTATTTTCTTTTGTGAGGTTGATAATGACATTTTCAAACCCATAACTGTAAATAACCACCGCTGCTTAAAGTGCGCAGCCTGCGTTGCCAGCAGAGTGAAGGGAGGAGATTCTTGTTCTGTATTTGGCACTTGTGCGAACACATTTGGAGTACTATGTCCAATTATGGGGACACTGGAGTACCAGAAAAACAGTAGTAAACTACTGAGAGCCTAGTGGAGAATCAGGAAGATAGCAAGGGGGCTGGAGCACATGGATTATGAGGAGAGACTGAGAGAAGTGGGTTTGCTCAGCCTGAGGACGAGAAAGCTAGCAGGGGATCTAGCTGCCCTCTTCACGTACCGCCGAGGTGATTAGAGAGAAGGTGATACCAGACTCTTCTTAAGACAGTGGACACAAACAGCAACAAATGAAATTTTGATGAGAGAAAATCTTAAAATAACATTCTTTTACTTGGTAGAAACTTAGTGTTTGGGGGTTTTTGTTGTGTTTTTTTTCCTTTTAGATGAATCACTTGGTAACACCAGTTGTAGGATTTATAGAGGATACGTTCCAGGCCATTCCTAATCCAGATGAAGTGAGCGATGTTTTTGTTGTGCCATTGGACTACTTTATCAAACCCTTAAATTACAAGACCTTGCCTTTTAAAACCTCATCTGGTTACTTAAGTTGGGTGCACTGCTTTATATATCATGACCATGAACGTAAAACATCATTCAAGATATGGGGACTTACTGCACACTTTGCTGTATTTCTTGCTCTTGTAATTTTTGGGAAGAGACCTACCTATGAAGTTGTTTATGATCTTGACAACTTAATTTCATCCTCTGAGAATAACTTCATGAACTTATATGCATCCTTATATGAAAGAAAGAAGAGTAATCTATGACAAACTGGTCTGGCAATTAATTTATATTGAAGGAGGAAAAAAGGTTTCTGTTTATTCCCTTTGTACTACCATTTGGTGGAATTTCACACTTGAATTTCTTCTGAATTGGGAACCTGTTGAAATTTATTTTTAAATAATCTTTTTAGGTTGACAAGCCCTAATTAGGTTCGTATAATTTTTAATCTGTTTTAGAGTTGCCAAAAGCACATGGTGTTTTCGATGGACTTAATATACATGTTTGGAAGATCTGTTTCAGTTTCTGCCTTTATTTTGTGTGATCTAACCACAGAGTGTCGTTTCTGCCTTTATTTTGTGTGATCTAAGACACTCTGTGGTTTGCCTTCTGTATAATGAGATAATACTATTTTATCTAATTTTTGTTTGTTTGTATTAGAATATGGAAACTTCGGGGGATTTGTCTGTCTCTTACTGTGTTGCATACTATATATGGAAAACATAAAGACACCAGACAGGACTGTATGTATTAAGCACTTACGAAATGAACAATAAAAATACAAAAGGTGGCAAGTGCTTTCACAATCTTGTGTTCTTTTGGTTGGGCTTGGGGAGGGAAGAGGGAGGTTTAATGAGTTTTATTACTCCTGCTCAATTTAACATTTCTCACAAGGAAATTCTGTCGGCTATGGAAAACTTAGTATACAGGCAACAGTATCGAACTTTGCTCCTCAGCATCTTGTTAGCATCACTCACTCAGCTCCTAGAGGGAGTCATCTTAAGGAAAGAAAAGTGGAGTTAAGTATTCATGAGGACTAAAATGCTTATCTGCAGTTGAACCTTTACCAGTCACCCTGGCAATGTCAGATATGTGGTGTTCTTGGTGCTGTGAGTCCTCATTTCCTCCTTGCTGGTGAACTAGAAGATTATTCATAGTGGTTGTGATCTTATTGCCAAATGCCTAAGTGTTTTAAAGCACAAGCGACTTAGGCTAGAGGCTGGGTTTGAGATGTAGTTTGCAAGTAAACAAGTTACTAGTCCTTAAACAGCTGATCTTCTCTGAGTAACAAGCGTGAGTTGAAAGCATTCAGTGTCTCTCAGAATCACGTGCCCTAGTGCTAATCTTGAATAAGATGAAGAAAAACACTTGGTTGTTTTTCTGGGTGTTTGCACTTTGTGCCCCTCCCCCTGCCTCCATTCACTAATGGATGCAAGTGTGATAAAAAAAGTTGCTGGCAATTCCTATGAACAGTGCTGTAATTGAGCAGAAGTCCCACTTTTACATTAAGCAGCTTTTGTAGTACACTTGAAGTTGGCTGCGACTTTAGTAAAATGCATCATTTTTGCAAATAAATGTTTCCCAAGTATGGCTTGAATAGCTAATTATGATTTTCTAGAAAACCCAATTCTGAGATATTTTTTTAGCTTCCCTAATTGCATCCATAACATTTTGCTGCTGCTGTGCTCGGGCAGTAGCATTTAGGCACTAAAATATGAGCTTGTGTTGGTTGGTAACTGCAGCATGACCTTCAACTGAAGAAGAAAAAGATGCTGGAGTTGCACTCAGCTGACAGAAATGTACCAAAACAAATCAAGGCTAAAATCAATGCAAATCTACTTGCAAGGACTGAATTTCCCTTTGCCTCCTTTCCCTGCTACAACTGTGCAATACTTAACTATTGTGGCGGGTTGAGCCTGGGCTGGATGCCAGGTCCCCACCAAAGCTGCTCTATCACTCCCCTCCTCAGCAGCACAGGGGAGAGAAATTACAACAAAAGGCTCATGGGTTGAGATAAGGACAGGGAGATCATTCACCAATTACCGTCACGGGCAAAAGAGACTCTACTCAGGGAAATTAATTTATTACCAATCCAATCAGAGTAGGGTAATGAGAAATAAAAAATCTTAAAATACCTCCTCCCCACCCCTCCCTTCTTCCCAGGCTCAACTTCACTCCCAATTCCTCTACCTCCTCCCCCCGAGTGATGGGGAACAGGGGTTGTGGTCAGTTCATCACAGGTTGTCTCTGCTGCTCCCTCCTCGGGGGACGGACTCCTCACCCTCTTCCCCTGCTCCAGCAGGGGGTCCCTCACACAGAAGGCAGTTCACAAACTTCCCACGGGCTGCAGTTCTTCACAAATAGCTGCAGCATGGGTCCCCCGCAGGGTCACAAGTCCTCCCAGCAAACCTGCTCCAGCGTGGGCTCCTCTCTCCACAGGTTCACAGGTCCTGCCAGGAGCCTGCTCTAGCACGGGCTCTCCACAGGGTCACAGCCTCCTTTGGGCATCTGCCTGCTCCAGTGTGGGGTCCTCCCTGAACTGCAGGTGGATTTCTGTTCCACTGTTAACCTCTGTGGGCTGCAGGGGGACAGCCTGCCTCCCCATGGTCTTCACCACGGGCTGCAGGGGAACCTCTGCTCCAGTGCGTGCAGCACTTCCTCCCCCTCCTTCTTCACTGGCCTTGGCGTCTGCAGAGTTGCTGCTCTCACATATTCTCACTCCTCTCTTCTGGCTGCTGCAGTGCAGGTTTTTTTCCCCTTCTTAACTATGTCGTCCCAGAGGCCCCACCACCATTGCTGATGGGCTTGGCCTTGGCCAGTGGCGGGCCTGTCTTGGAGCCAGCTGGAATTGGCTCTGCTGCCCCTCTAGCCTCCCCACTACCAAAACCTTTCCACGCAAACCCAATATAACTATTTGTCTCTTCCCAGAGGTATTTCAATGGTAGGTATTCTATTCTGCTTGAAATATGCTTTATGCTGTGGCATTAAAGAAGTACAAGATTGGCAATCAGAATGCTGTGTTGGAAAAGGCCTCAAGAATTAGCCTAATCTCTTGCCACCTAAAGAGGGAATCCGATACATGATATTCTGATAAATACCTAATTTTTTCCTAAGGTTCCCTGGACAATCCATTGTATTCCTTTAGCTGCGCTTTACAAAGTTTGTCTAACTTAACAGATACTAGTTGTAGCAAGGAACATTTACTTTTTGGCCTGTGCATGGCAGAATGGTGAATAGCTCGTTTCCTTACTTACTTTCTGCACTCCTAAAAACTACATCGCTGTGTCTTCCTAAGGCATCCTGAGACTTGATCAGATTCCTTCAGGGCCTTTTTTGTCAGTCACATTTTCTGTATGTCTCTTCTCATTTCTGTTGCTTTCCAGAATCTTCAGTGAACCTTCCTCCCAATTTCTCCCTCCTATCGAATATGTGATAATGAAACCTGGTCATAGTATTCTAGTTAACTATTTATTTGGGTCGGATAGAACAGGATTACTTCGCAGCTCCTTTTCATATATCCCATTGCCGGGGATACAGATTGCTGTTTGTGAAGCAGCATGATAATATTGACTCATATTCCACTTCTTCAATTCAAGTTCCCTCCTCCTTTTCTGAAAAAGCTGCCAGTTGTTCCTATGTTTGTATTTATTGCACTCTGTATGTGAACAGTTGATTATTTCTACCAGATGTAGCACTTTGCCTTTGTCTTTATTGAATTACATCCTGATTATTTCAAAACAAATTGTAATGATCTACTACCATGTTTTTCGGACTTTTCCATTTTGCTGTTATCCTCAAGTTTGATGAATACATTTTCTGTTCTATTTACAACTTAGAGGAAGCACACTCAGAACAGGCCTCTGCAGAATCCCACTTGGTAACTGCCACTTTGACAATGAACTGGTTTTCTAACCGGCTGTGTAACATACTACTATTAGTTTCATATAGACTGCCCCTTCCTAGGCTGCAGGCAGGAACATTAGGCAGGGCTATATCCAAAACTAGAGGATTTATCGTTTTCCCTATACACCAAGCCTGGCACCAGCTCCACAGAGGAAGTAAACACTTTGTCAGAAACAGTTCATAGGAAAAAGACAATGGTTGCTACGTATGTCCTTGTTAATTAAAGGACTTACGTAAAGGTTATTTGTTCTGATACCTTCCCAGGAATTGGAACAATTTGTATGAGTTCTCCAGTTCTTCCCAGCCTGTGTTATGGAAGCAGATAAAGTTCCCGCAGTTTCAAAGATAATTGCTAATAATGTTGAGATTGGTTCTTAAGAGAATGGCTGTCGCATTGGGACATTTCAGAAGATTCGGCCAGCTTGAACATTTTAGCATATCTAAATACTATCAAACCTTTCATATTCCTACCTTAGCTTTTTGGTGCCTGTGTTAATTATACTTGATATCAGCTGACTTATTAAGTCAAAAGAAAACAAGACGTTTCTTTTTGGCTAGGATGAAATCCTTGGAGTAGCAGTAGCCACAGTTATGAAGAAGAGCTTTATTTTTCATTATTAAACACTTGTGAAATTGTTAAAACATTTTTAAAAGCTTAACTTTAAACTCTTCATCATATTATTCATATCCTCAGTGTTTTCTCTCAATGCTAATGTATGCAGGAAAAGTAACTAATTAAAATAAGAACATTGTTAATTAAAATAGAGCACAGCAATTAAACCTTTGATTAGTAAACAAAACAGGTACCAAGAGACATAATTACTAACTTACCATCCTTCTCTGTTCCCAGCAGACTTTTTCTTCATCTCTCAACCAGATCTGGCACAGAAAATGTACAAATTGTACAAATTCAAACCTGAGTTTGTTTTTATTTCTTTTTTTTTTAAACATTATTGTGTGGAACTGTAAGGACAGCAAAACCAGTTACAGCTGTTGCTCCTTTTAGCAAATGCAAATCTTGTTGATTTTTGAATCAAATCAACCATTTGAACTAGTTGAAAACCAAAACTTACAGATGTCCAACCAAAAATCCTTGAGTTATTTCCAATAAAGCCACCGGGGGCTTCATGCTTCACATTATGCATCCTACATGATTTTACTGACATTAATTTTGAAACTCGGGAAGCACTTTCTTAACTCAAAAGACTCATTCTTTATTTAGATCTCCATCTGGGATTTGAGTGCCCAAAAAACTCCCTTGAGCACAAAAAGAATAGAAGGAAATTTAAGTGCTTGCTACTAAAACTGCAACACTGCAAATCCCACATTTACTATGGGAAGTTGTTTCCTTGGGCAGTCTTTGGATAAAATTCTTCCACAATTCTTGAGGCAGAAACTATAACACGACTCCCCAAGATCTAGGCAGCCCTCCTAACCGACCCATGTCACGTTCATGGTCTCTTTCCTACTTTCAGGAG